GAGAGCATGAGAGGGGGGAGGGTCAGCGGGAGAAGCAGACTCCCCGCCGAGCAGGGAGCCCGATGCGGGACTCGATCCCGGGACTCCAGGATCATGACCCGAGCCGAAGGCAGTCGCTTAACCGACTGGGCCACCCAGGCGCCCCCCGCCCCGGACTTTGTTTCTAATGGATCCGCACAGGACACCACTATACCGACAGCACCGCCGTGCCAACAAACTAAAACTGTTCTCAAATAAAGTGCAAGCACAAACTCCTTCTGAACCAAAAACTCTGTTCTTCCTCCAGAGGCCAGCTGACTCTAACCTCCCAGACCTTTTCCAAACTCTGCAATCAATCACCTCTCTCCCAAAGGAGAGAAGAGATCGAAATAAGAAAGGAAACGTTGGCTGTTCACGTAGTTTGGTGGGTCTACCAGGCGTCTTTCGAGGAACAAAGCAGATTTCTTCAAGAAAGGGCTCCTAAATCACGGCCCCTCCTTTTGATGCAGGACCCAGCAAAACAACGCTGCCACCGTCACTGCTTCCTTGGTGCCTGGTATAAGGAAGTACTCAAGTAACTCAGAGTACGGAGGAAAAACTCCCATCATGCACCACTTCGGAAAGGAGCATTGCAAAATAATGTCTTTAGGGACCCTTTTAATTTTCCAAAATTTTGATATGGGTAAATTCATTTTTTTAGGAAATAATGGATTCTGGCTGAATTTAAATAACAAGAGCAATAAAAATATATTTTTGGTTAAGTAAAACATGTGTAGTACCAAGGATACAAACCTAACTAAAATACATCTCTTCCTTGTCTGTTGTTACAGTCACCAATATAAATAAAACAGACTGCTTATTAAAGATACTAATTATAGAGAAGGAATAAAAGGTTAATTCTCTCATTATAGTTTTATCTTTCAGCTAATGTGAATGAACAAACAGGTATATTGTAAGGCCAAAACCTTTTCCAGGGGTTGAATAAACCTAGGATAGATTTCTAGAACCTGACCAGCTCACAAAGCACTAGTCATTATATCATAACTGAGCCCTGATCACCCTGCCACTCTTAGAAAACACGAATGTCTAAAACTAAACACATGGGTGACATTGCATGGACTCATTTCTGTTCAAGAGGGTCTTCTAATAATTTAGCCATGACCCCATGTGCAGTGAGGACTCCTCGACGGTCACTCACTCACGAAGCCCACAGGGCCTGACGGAAGCAGCCTGCTTCTTCCCGCTGTGTAGGACCAGGCCTGGCCTGCATCAGAGTTCACTTAAACTCACTTGTACCCACCCCGTCTCCATCAAAGGCAGCCCCGAAGTCGTGCTCTCCTGTTTTCATGGTCTCCACCAGGTCAGCGGCGTAGGTGAGGTTGGGGTCAGGGTGGTGGCCTCCGAAGTCCTCCAGAGGAACACAGTTAACTGCTGAGTTTGCAGGGGCACCCAGTTCTTCACAGAGGATCTTCTTCACGTACGGTCCCACGACTACATAAAATGTGAAATGAGAATCGGAAATTATGACTTATGAAAGCTTGTCAGGAACGGGGCAGGAGGAAGAGGCATTCTAAGGAGAATGGCATGAATGACAGTGAGAACAGGAAGCCTATATTCAGGGGCCAGCGGACAGGTAAGTCTGACTGGGACGGAAGGTTTTGCCAAAAGGAATAATGAGGGGTTCGGTTGGAAAAGGTGGGGCTAGTTGATGAAGGAGAATGGGGGAAGGGAGGGGAGTTAGCTTTTATGAAGGCCCTACTACACACCTTGCCAGGTGCTTTGCAACCATTTTCTCACTCCTTCAAAACCAAAAAGAGCTCACAATGTGGTAAGAGCTTCGTGCTTAAAGAGCTTGGACTCTGGAATCAGAGTGGGTTCAAATCCCAGCTCGGTTAATCATGGGCTGTACAACTCTGGAAAATTATTTAATCTCTCTGTGCCTCCAGCTACCCTATCTGCAAAATGAGGATAATAATAGTAGCTACCTAATAGGGCTGGTGTGAGGATTCAACAATAGAGAGGAAGCCCTGAGGACAGTACCTGGCACATATGTTATAAATATTTGCATTATGATTACCACCTCTACTTTATAGATAAGAAAACCGGTCTGAGATGAAGCCATTTGTCCAAATTTACATATCTAGTAGGAGTGGGAGTGGGAACTGGGATTCAGAGCCCATATCTGGCTAAAAATACAAACAAACAAAAAGAACTACCAACAAGAGGAAAAACCAGTCACATACTTTTATGGTGACATTTTGTACAACTTCCAAGAACATTCATCTCTAAAATGCTGAGAATGTGTTTTCATCAAGGAAGGTACAGACACCAATGTAGGCCACAGGGGTCGGAACAGGGTAGAAGATGCTTCTCCAGTTAGGGGTCACATGTTAAGGAGGCTATGGACACACCACACAATAAGGTCAAGGCACCCAGGGCTGTGACGGAAACAGAAACTGAGGCATTAGAGGAACCCCCGAAAGGCCTGGAGAACGAAGTCTACTTCATGACCAGCTTCCCCTACCCCACACCTCATCACAAACACATTCTTTTTATTTTGTATTTCTAGTTTTTACTTAAAATCTAGTTAGTTAACATTTAAAGCCCATTCTTAAGCCATTCTCCTCATTTCCCTAACATAACATCTCTTAAGCCTTCACGGCTTTGCTCCAGCCATTGCCTCAGCTGGAAATGACCGTCCTAGATCTTTTTTTCCTAAAAGCTGAGTTGGTTGCCAACTTCTTCCAGGAAACCTTTTTTGATACTGCTAGTCAAGCTATGCCTTCTTCCACACCCCAAAGAGAAAACTTGAAATTCTATCTAACCCTCATTTTGTTGGTAGTTTTCCACCCATCCCATCTCCCCAAGCATCACAAGTCCCTGACTAAGTCCCTGCCTACCCCCCATGCACACATGTACTAAGTACTCAATACGTGCCTGTTGAATGGTTTGAAATGACAAAATAGCTATTATCTAAGTAAGGAAGTAGACTCATTGTGTGAGACTCCAGAGGCAACTTAGGACTCAAAGGTGAGGTTCAGGGATAGAAGATTTCAGCCCACCAGAAGAAAGTTTTCTAACTGTGGTTTTGCAGTGTAACAGGAGGCCCTAATGGCACCATCGAAAGGGTTCAATCCCAACCAGGCAGGCAGCTGGATTCCAAAACCAGGGAGAATCCCTCCTGCTCAAAGATTCTAAAATTCTAAATTTATTACAAAACAAATAAACAACTTCAGTGCTTGGGAATTCCCATATTCCTCCATGTGAGAAAGCCTCATGGTTCTAGTCCACAAGGACGGCTGCTGTCTCTGCTGACCTGGCCACACACCCACAGAGGAAGAAGAGGGAGAGATAGCCAACTGTTGTTCCTGAATTTAATCCTCAGCTTGCTCTTGTAAGCTCTGCTCTTCTAAGAAAAGGCACATGTGGGGGCAGCTGAGTGGGGTATGGGACTCAGGAGCATGTTTACCTCATCCAGCAAATGACACCCACCCCCTTGGAATAGATAGGGGCATTTAGGAAGAATGTAAGGTATCTCCTGAGGGGGAGGAAGCATCCACAAAAACAGTTGCATGTTACTCAAAACCTGATGCTTCGTGTGAAAACTCTGACCTTCTCACTACCTTACCATGAGTCATGTCTCTACCATTTTTGTTGTACTCAATTAGATTTTTATCTATGTGAATAGTGCTCTGATACGGTTGCAAAATCACTATTTAAAAACGGTGAAGCAGAGAGTCTTGAGAAAAGGCTTATTAAAGCATCATGATACACAAGATAGAGAGCAGCTTCATATCTCTGAGAGAAAGGAAGGGAAGAAAAATGGCTCCATACCTCCATGCATGGCATCTATACGGATCTTTAGTCGGTTTGGACCAGAAAGCAGTTCTTTCAGTGCATTGAAATCAAAGATGTTCCTCAGCATTGTAGCATAAGCTTCCACTGAATCCACAATTTCCACTGTGAGAACAAGCAACATTAAAAGATGGGTGAACTAAACACATTAAGAAATATTATCCTTGGGGCGCCTGGGTGGCTCAGTCAGTTAAGCATCCGACTCTTGATTTTGGCTCAGGTCATGATCTCAAGGATCGTGAGATCGAGCCCCATGTCAGGCTCTGTGCTGAGCGTGGAGCCTGCTTAGGATTCTCTCTCTCTCTCTCCTTCTGCCCCTCCCACCCCCTTCAAAAAAAATTTTTTTAAGAAATATTATCTTCTAAAATGATTATATTGCTGTAAACCCACAATAGCTACTTTAAAGGGATAATTATCGAGCAGCTCCAATATGCCTGGGCTGTTACATGATCTCTTATTCAATTCTAACAATATTCCTGAGAGGTAAATGTTATTAGTTCTATTTTATTAATAAGAAAGCTTAAATTCTGAAAGGTGAAGTAACTTTCCCACACAGCTGGGATGGGGCACACATGGGATTTTTGACACAGATTTGCCTGACTGTAAATTCTGCTAGCTGCCACACTCACTCCTTGCCTATCACCATAAGAAACATATTTTGGTGTCACAAGTAACAGAAAATGTAATGCCACTTTTCTTTCCTTTTTCTAGGCCCATTGCCATGGGACTTAATGGTAAAAAGCAGGGGGGAAAATTTTTTATAAACCACTTTTCGCATGCACCACTAAAGGAATAAAACAAATATAAGAACTTAGTATTGTTCTTGTTGGACGTGCAGGGGTCAGAACATTTTCAAAACGTTAAGAGTTTAAGAAACTCTCTACTGGTGTTTCCTAAACCCTAAAATTTGTCTTCAAGATGTACCAAGGCACCAGTTTATCTTTGTTAGGATGCAACTGCCAGCTCTTGATGGGTAGGTTCAAACAAAAAATGCATTCCATCAAATTGCAATCCAGAGGAAAGAGTACCCATTAGAACGGTCAAAACACAAATTGCCTTACTAACCATCTCATCATTGTTGTGTTAATATGAACGAAGTTATAAACATTTCCTCCATCAATTACTGATAATACCTTGGCATTCGACCACAAAATGTCTACCACAGCTGCCTATGCAGGGAGTTTCAGTTTAGCCCCCCAAATGGCTGACTTTGATTGTACTGAATATTAGGGCAGGAAAAATAAAGAATCAAAGCCCAGGCTTTGAAATCATTCACACCTGGGTCTGAATCTGGTTTCCCACTCACTGACTATGCGATCTTGAGCTTGTCATGTAAGCTCTCTCAACCTTTGTTTCCTCATCTGGAAAAACTGAATATAGATAGTGCTGCCCTCACAGGGCTCTGTAAGAATAAAGTGGGATAATGCATGTTAAGAGTTGGGCGTACAATAAAAGCTCAATAAAATTTAGCTATGAATGTAATCTTACAGGTCTTCTAGTCAAGGCTATTCATTTTATAAGTATGGAAGCCAAGGCCTAGAAAGTTGGAAATGATTTACCCAAAGTCACAGGGCTGACTCCTGGTAGGGCCCCGAGAGCCCAGGTCTCTGGACTCCCAGACCCAACTCCAGACCTGCTAATTAAGGCATGCAAAGCTTATTGACCACAATCTTTCCAAAACTGAAGACCCACTGTATTAAAACCTTGAAAGGCAAACTGTTCAAGTTGGAACTAGAGTGGGCAGTGGGGGAGGAGAGTCAACGTGCCAGTGAATGGTTTGAACTTGTTTTCCAGGTCAAACTGCTGCTTTCCCAGAACTCCAAGGTCTACTTTCAGGTCAGGGCAAATTGCGTATTCTTCAATTGTCTTGCTGATTTGGAAGATTTTATCAGTTATCGCTTCTGGAGCAGGACCTGGAAATCAAACAGCGAACCGTGGGTCATTTCGTGGGACTGACATGAAAATACAAAGAACACAGAACTCATCCATTCCTCTTCATGAGCACATGTGCCACTCCATCATTTAGGAAGCAAAGTATCAAAATTTTCTAGAAGAAAATATGTTAAGGATCCTTCGTGCATGGCTTCTCATATGCAGGTTCAGCAGAATGAGAAGCATTCCACTGTCACCAAAAGGAAACAAATAATTCCCTTGCTAAGGATCAGAACCAAAACCCTGACCCTCCAAGGCCTTGGTGATTAGTTTATCCTAATGAACAGAAATTGACTATCCTCAAAATGACAGCAAACTCACCTCCATTGGAAATATTAAATTTGATTCCAAAATCTCCATTGGGTCCTCCTGGGTTGTGGCTGGCTGTCAAAATGATCCCACCAATGGCTTTGATCTTTCTAATGATGCAGGATACAGCAGGGGTAGAGAGGATTCCATTCTGCCCAATGACCAAGCGACCAATCTAAGAGAAGAAATCCAGAACGCACACTTGAACATCGATAAATCCAGAGCTATTGCACAGAAACACCAAAACACCAGGCAGATGGACAAAGAAATAGTATTGAACCAGAAAAGGTGTTCTTTAATGAACATCTACAGCTTGGGTTATTATTATTTTATTATGAATTAGAATGTTACTGTTGAATAATATAATTATTGAAGTAGAATCAGCATTGAAGAACAAAGCCATTCCTTCACAAAGCCATTCCTTCAGAGAGTTTTTTGGGACTTTGTAGTTTTAAAATAGTGTGTGGTCTGGGGGAGCTCTAAGTCTCTGGCAAGAAAACAGTATTTGAAACAGTCTTTCCAGACCAGGTTCATAATTTTCACTGAAAAATTGTTAGAAAACCCACATTTTTATCCAATTCAATCATACTTTCAAACCACATGGGGGGGGGCGTGAGATACAAGTTTAGCTTGTTAAAGGAATTCTACCCAAAGAGAAGGCTTTTTGTAAATCAAAATTTTTTTAAAAAAGTAAAAAGGGCAAACTTTATATGAAGAGTTTTACAAAATGCATCTCATAAACCTATCTTTCCAGTCAAGCCTGGATTTTGATATGGTGGTCTCCTCCAAGCAGGACATACCTACCCATGTGCGGGAGTACCTGGGTTACCTGCTGGGCCTAAGGCAGAAGATGCTGGGGGTTATTACTGATTAAACCAATCAGAACTACCCACAGGTGGTACTTTGCTGTGTTCTTAACTCACCTTCCCGTACCTCTCACAGATGTTATCAGCACAGCTCCTAAATCTTCCCTCACTAACACGTAATTTATATTTGTTTCAACATGACCCAAGTTGGAAAAGAAGGAAGAAGTCCCATCAGTTCCTTGAACATACTTGAAGAAAACCTGACTACTGCATCAAAAGATTTATAAAATGAGGAGTTTGTGCCCTCATTCCATTCTCCCTTCTGAGAGAAGAAAGGGACAGGAATGTTTTAAACATTTCCATTTGTTATTTCTTTTTGCCCCACCCAAGATAAACATGCTTGAAGAAATGACTTACGGTGGAAAATGTGTCTGATGATACCTGGATTCCCTGGGGAAGCTTTTCTGGGACTGTTACCTCTGCCATCCTACAAGTCACTGAAAGCTTGCCTGCCTTATCATCAGCCCCTCAGCTGCCAACCATCTCCCAGGAAGCAGCCAGTTCATTTCAGTCACCTCTTGGCTCTCATTTGTCCATCTCAGAACAATGTTTGTTAGACTAATACATTTGCTATGCCTTGCCTCCCTCAGGAAGTGGTGATGACCAGGGTAGGTGCTAATAACTAGGCTCCTCTGTAGACCAGAGGGACCTGCTGACGGTGTGAAATCATTATTAATGATTATCACTGAGCCACAGAGTGCTTTCTAAAACCCATGGCATGTTCGATTCATTCTCATAGTTGCTCCCTAGGACTGTTGTATAGATGAAGAAGCTGAGATCCAAAGTTATGATGCTGCCCATTCGTCCATTCTTGCATTCATCCAAAAGCAATAATAACAAGTGTTTATGGAAAGGTGGTATGGGAGGCACTGGGATAGATGACAGGGCAAGGTCATGTGGCAAATTAGGAATCACAGCTGGCCATTAATAGCTAACTCAATACAGTGAGAACAGTAACATCTCTCCCTTCTAGCAGTTTCTGGGTTCTGAGAAGAGTGAAAGTCTATGGTTGAGCAGTTCCATAATTTCAATAGGAGGGGCTTAATTAAGGATGGCAATTTAATCAGCCAGAGTGGTGATGAAGTTATCTGGAAATTATACTTGCACATACTTGCACATCAATTATACTGACTTGTACTCAGATCTTATATGTATTTGGTATGGAGAGGGAGACTGGAATGAATATTAACCTGCACCACCCGAGTCATCCCTTATTCTACCATTCTTTAGGGTGAGATCTGCAGTCAGTAATAGCCCAAGAATAAGGAGATTATATCAGGAGTAAGAACAAGAAAGTCAAGAGAAAGAAGCAAGGAAGTCCATGGTACCTTCTTTCTCTTCAGCCCAAGAAGAGTAACAGCTGATCAAAGCCTCTCCTTCCAGAGAAGACTCTCTCCTGTGAATCACCCTCGGGAATATTAATCCTCAACCTGATATTGAGGAGGTATTACTCTATTATCCTCCTTCCCTTGACAATGTCTGGAGCACTGCAACAGCTCCTGACTCAATCTCCCCTTTCTCTTTCCCACCTGTACCTCCCTTATTCTACCCTGGCTGAATCTATCCCTCCAACTCAGGCCCACCTAGTTCATCTTTTTTTTTAGATTAAAATATTTTATTTCCCTAAAAAGAAACAACCTTAGATTGGAATAGCAAATCCCCTCTTCCATTTCCCACCTGTTTAGTTTGACTTCCTCCCATTTAAAAGGAATTTGGGTCACAGAAGAACATTCTAAGGCACCATTTAAATATATGCTTCTTGGGGCGCCTGGGTGGCTCAGTCCTTAAGCGTCTGCCTTCGGCTCAGGTCATGGTCCCAGGGTCCTGGGATCGAGCCCCACATTGAGCTCCCTGCTCAGCGGGAAGCCTGCTTCTCCCTCCTCCACTCCCCTGTGTTCCCTCTCTTGCTGTGTCTCTCTCTATGAGAAATGTTAAATTTCTGGACAATCCTTTTTCCAGTGGCTCACCAGATCTGTACATTAGTGATGGGTTCCAGATTGTTTAGTTGAACAACTGACAAATTATTTTTATTCCCAACTTCAATACTCTTTGCCTTGGAAACAATTTTTGGTGTGGCACTTCCCAGTCTGTGATCCTGTCCTGAGAACGGCTGGAACACAGGCTTCGTTGACATACATACTTCGTTTTTTTTGTCTTCAACTTTAACATCCACCTCCTCTTTATCAAAAATTCCCTGTAATTCCAAAGGTAATTCCCCTTTTTTGATGGAGTTCAGAAACTGCTGACTTGCACCATCAGAGTAACTTCTGAAATCATCACTGACTGTGAATCCACTTTTCCATAATTTTATACTTACATCGACCTGTTTCTTCTGTTCAGTGGGAGACATGCATTTGGCACCAACCTTCTCAGCTTCCTCAAAAAGGCTGTCAACAAAATATTCACAATTTCTTTGACGATCATCACTAAGAGGTTGGTTGTCAGATCCTGTTTCACAAACCCATTCTTCTTTTACACTTTTGAGATTATCTACTTCTTTCATTCTTTTGCCTTACTCCGGGCTCGTCCTCCGTTTGCTCAGGGGCCGTGGGCGCCACCGCTGCTGTCGGGCTGGAGCCCCTCAGACGGGGAGCACCGCCGCCCCCAGACCCGCTGAGGCTCGCGGGGCCACGCCGCTGGGACCCAGCCCGCCTCCCTGGGCCTCCGTCGCCGGGCACCGAGCGCTAGTTCATCTTTTTAAACCATAGTTCTGTGTCTCTCCTCTGCGCAAAAACCTTCCCTGTACTATAAGACCCAGAAATTCCAATTCTAGCTATAGACACAAAAGAAAGCAGGGACTCAAACCGGTAACTTGTACACCCATGTTCATGGCAGAATTATTCACAATAGCCAGAGGTCCATCAAGAGATGAATGCATAAACAAAATATGGTATATACACACAGTGGAATATTTTTCCGCCTTAAAAAGGAATGAAATTGTGATACATGCCACAATATGGATGAACCTTGAAAACATTATACTAGGTAAAATAAGGCAGACACATAAGGACAAGTATTTGTATGATTCCATTTAAATGAGGTACACAGAAGAGGCAAATTCATAGGCAGAAAGTAGAACAGAGGTTGCCAGGGGGTGGAGGGTGGGGGAGAAATGGGAAGTTATTGTTTAGTGGGTAAGGAGTTTCAGATGGGATGAGAAAAAAGTTCTGGAAATGGATAATGGTGATGGTTGCAGAATATTGTGAGTGTAATTAATACCACTGCAAGTGTGTACTTAAAAATGGCTGACACACTAAGTTCTACATTACATATACTTTACCAAGAAAAAAATATATATATATATATATATCTTAAAAGAAAAATCCTTCCCTGGCTCCCAAGTGTCTACCAACTTAGAGATAACTCCCTCTAGCTGGTACTCAAAGTACCCCCATCAAACAGCCTTTCCTGTCCTTCCCTCCCCCTCCTAATACTCCTTCGTGCATAACACAGTTCACACTACAAGGAGGGATACCTTACTGTTTACCCGCCATTTTATCGTCAAACACGACAGGGAGCAAACTTAGTTTTCCTTTTAAAAAACAGGACCTGGTGTTTTCTTATGTTTCACAAAAAAACAAGTTCCACGTTCTTTGCCCTGCTGGCCATATATACATATTCTTATTTCTAAACATATCTCTAAGTTTAAAGCTCTGGAGACCAAATGAGATATCAGTATTACAAATGGGGCCCCACTAATGTCTTATTTTTGTATGTTAAAATTTCCTGTACTTCTTAGCTCACAGAAACATCATGTAAAAAAAATTTCCTATAAATGCAGACAGCTCTATGCAAATAAAAACAAAGGGAAACTTCTAACAAAGGCAAATTATATTCTACAGTCCATAAATGCACCAGATAAATGTGTAATAAAGAGAAAAAAAATGAAATGATCTTCATTTAGTTCACTAGGCTGAAGAGGCTTCCAAGAATCCGCTTAAGGGTGGAGTGGGTATTGACAGAGGTGAGGAAGGAACAATGACTTCTACCAGAATCTGTGGCAATAAATTATCTTTCCTTTACATTTCCTCCCTAGAGCTCTGTCCACAATCAAAGGGATGTTACAGGCGTCAGAATTGAGGATATGTTAGAAAAAGAAGGAATCAAACCATCTAGGAGGTGATAGGTTCTATCAGATTAAAGTGCTTTATTGGTCCACTAAATGTTTGACGTAATTCAATTTGGTTGCATGACTGCTTTAAATGCAACACTATTTTTTTAAAGTTAATTTAATTTTATTATGTTATGTTAGTCACCATACAGTACATCATTAGTTTTTGATGTAGTGCCACACTATTTTAAATAAAGAACGCCCTTGAGAAGATTTCAAAATATTGCTTGGCCTGCCACAGCTCTAACAAATAGGCAGTTACCATATTTAGTCAATTATTATCACTTAAATGTATTATTTAGCAAACCTTCAGATCGTAAATCTGAACAAGTCTATGGGGTCTGCCTGAATTACACATTCCTACCACCTCTTCCACATCCTTCAGCTCCACACAAAAATGAAATGAAGCCAAATATATTACAGCTAAGGGGACAGTGTACCAGATCCACTCAACAATCTAGATATATGCGGAGAAATAATGTTCCTTTCGTTCTTTCTCTAAAGATTAAAAGCATCTTAATACTGTTCCCTTTGCAGCTCTCCTCAAAGGTGAAATTTATAGCATGTCACATTTTATCTTAAAAATGTGTATGCTTCATAATAATTTCATATTTGAGTGCTTTATCAGCAATTTTTACATGAGAGGCATTCAGATTCCAAAACTGGGCAGGAAGGAAACTTCGCATTATAAACATTAGGATCTACAAACATTTTTTAATTTAATGTGGCGGTGTGTTTTTGTTTTTGTCTTTAATTTGGGTTTTGCAATCACACCTGCTTGGTGTATTATTAAAATAGACTGACGATGAATGCCCAACACATTTGGTTGCCATGCTAAATTTTTATGTTCTCAGAACCAGAATCACTCCCAGAAAGGAAATACAACAGATTTTTAAAATTTATGAGTTCTGAGGGACTGTGTGCTCCAAATTACTGCTAAGTATAATTTAAAACACTAAAAATACATTTTTGGTCCCACAGAAGAATCTGCAGAGCAAAAACAGCAACGTCCTGATGCCCACCTTCCTGCAAATCAGTGGGACTGTGCAAATTGTTAGATTATCAAGATCAATGCCTTCTGGTGCAAGATTCCTTCTGATTTGGTTAATTCAGCCAATGCAGTTTTTCACAATGCAGAGCTCTTAGCAGAGCCTCCTTATATTATAGTCTTACAGGAGTTATTAACTCTACCCTGCTGCACAAATTCACCGCACACAGGGCTTCTTTGTGTCCAAGGTCATTATAAGCAGGTTCCCCTGTAACAGGTCCTCTTGGTAGGCTTATACCTAACATTTTCCAATCCCCTCCTGGCATTTCTGCATGACTACCAGGATCCACAAACAACAGCATGCCCTGGCTTTTGTTTTCCTGTTTGACAAGTGACTGAACTTCAACAAGGAAGCCATTGAAAGAAAACAAAATCCTCCTCTCTCCACTACTCATTAGAGCCTTCTTACATAGGAGAGGGTACCCCTTGGAACTAGGTTAGAATGTAGATAAGACCGCTTAAGGCTGGGGGTGTGCTTTAAATGTCTAAAAAGCAACAGGTATTTTTTCAAGCAAAAGGCACAGAGTACAACACTTAAGGAGCCGAACTCACATTCCTATATCCCAATGTGACTAATGTAATCTCAGGAGTCATATCACAATATACGTTCTCTGAAGTCACAATGAAACACTAACTGGATGTTAGTAGCAGGTGTACACAGCATACAAATCTTTGTACTTTTGTATATTTCTGCAAAGTGAAGAAAGAAACATATATGGAGAGCCAGAAACATAACAATAATTATCGTATACCAACCCCATTGGCAGCCGCCATCTGCACTAGTGTTTCTATCGCCGATTTATTAAAATACCGCCCATCTCCACCAACCACCAGTGAGGCTCCCTGGCGATCTTTAAGGTCTATGGAAAAGAACAGACTCTGGATGAAATTCTCCAGATAACATGGCTTCGCCTCAAAACAATAGGTTTTCTTCCGTAATCCACTAGTTCCCGGCTTTTGGTCATAGTAAGGAGCAGTAGCACAGGTCAACAGAGGAAGAGGACCTTCTTCCATTTTTCTATATTTCCCAGAAATCCATTCATCAAAATCACTCATCTTTCATTTTCACCACTTGGCTCAGCAAGGGGTTCCGGAGAGCAGGCAAGGGTCCTCAAAATAGTCTGTCCGAACTGAAGCTGCAACAGTGTCATCTGAGTAACTAAAACAGAGGTCGGTCACTCTCAACGAGGAAGCTGGGTTAAGTCCTTGCTGTCGTCACCCCTGGTGAAAAGCGAAGGGCCACACGCCCGCCCACACCCACACACAAAGCACATCTTCCAAGCTGTTTTGGTGAGGACACTTCTGCCCACATAACCACGCCAAATACCCTTCAATTATTTTTGCCTCATCTCCCCCGTTAGATCGCTCCAAAGGATTCTGGCAGCCTTCAGTCACAAACACCAGCTGGCTGTCAGACTCCCCTCGCAGAGCCCAGGCAAAGATGGAGCAAGTGCGGTCCCCAAAAGCAGGCTCATCGTGAACAGGACACCCTGGTGTAGCTCCCACTGCTCCCGACACCCCTTAACGCAGAGCCTCTCTGGGCACTCGCTGCTGAGAAGGCCGTCTGCTGCTACAGTTGTCCCATGCCATCTAGCAAGCTAAAGGTCAATCTTAAAATGGAAGAGAGGGATCTCAGTTACCTCTGGTTTCCTTACATCACCATCATTTTGATACCCAAGTCATTTTTTACCTCCCATGTGCCATTCCAGTTGGAAGGAAGAAAGTCGCCAAACAGAACAGATTTATTCATTGCCCACCAAGGATTTAGCAAAACAGCATTCAGCTCTAGAAGAGTAGATACCTACAAACATGCCTGAATGATCAACAGCTTGGTCATTCCCTTGAAGTTAGGGAAATGTGGGAATGGAGATGCACCAAATCCTTGAAAACATAAGCGAAACGGGGAGGGAAAAAAGTATGTTTCTCTAAGTGCACAAGGTCTGATCAAGTTATTATCTGGGAAAATAATATGAACATATGATTAAATTTTGTGTTTTCATTTTCTCAGGTTTTTTTTTTAATGATTTTATTTATTTATTTGACAGAGAAATAGAGAGCACAAGCAGGGGGAGCGGCAGGCAGAGGGAGAGGGAGAAGCAGACTCCCCGCAGAGCAGGGAGCCGGACGCAGGGCTCCATCCCAGGACCCTGGGATCGTGACCTGAGCTGAAGGCAGGTGCTTAACGACTGAGCCACCCAGGCACCCCTGGTCCCTGAGATTTTATTAATGATCTATTTAAACGCATGCATGTGTCTTCCTTATCTAGTTCAGCAGAAGCTGACGATTAAGAAACTCCACTGTGGAGGTTTTGATGAACTTGTCAAGGATGCTTAAAAAGTAAACCAGGACTAATTACACCACATGTTTGGAGAGTCCGAGATGCACTGGAGTCCAGGTTTTCAAGCGAAACATGAATAATCCCTTGGTAAACAAAATCTGAGTATTGTCCTACTAACTTGTCAAGCAAGGTCCGAAAGCAAACGGGACTGGGAGCAGCAGACTGCCCTCTCTGCTCAGGGGGACGCTCTGTGCAGGACCAGCTGAGTGAGCGGGCCCAAGAGCCAAAGGCAGCCTCTGGCGGCAAAGCCTGGGCTGCTTCCAACGACAACTGGTGCTGGTCCAAGTGCAGGGAAGACCTCGAGACGTAACATTAAAACAATTCGCAAGACCACGTCTGGTAAGCCAAAAAGCAGTTGGCCAAAGAACACGTTTTATAGCTTATTTGGGGCTTTTATTTACTTTTTAAAAATGAAATTCTTTAGAAATTAATTTATGAAGTCAGCTTGCTGTACTGACAGTTTACATACCCACTGTTTTGCAATGACAATAAAGGCATTTTTTTATTCATTTTTTTTTTAAGTCTGGTGCCAAGTTTTCTCTGGTTCTAGACAGGCTTGCAAATTAGGCCAGCATATGTGTCTTGACATATTTAATAATAGATCAAGATTTATGAAATATCAACCCCATAATCTTTTCATTGGGAATAACAGAGCAACCGACCACATAATTGGTAGTTTTCTTAACAAGTTCTTGCAATCCCAGGGTAGACTTAGGGGCACTTGGTCATAAGGGTGCGTCAATAGCCCCAGCTGAAGCTTCTCTGCCCACACATTCCATCCTGTTCTCTGCTGGTGGTCTGCCGCTCTCTCTGTGAAGCTCAGTTCCCGAAGCTCGAACCAAGACAGTTAACATTTTGTTGGTTTTTTTCCCACGCATTGATTTTATTTAGTTTATGGTTAATGCAGATCAATTTCATAAAATGAGAAGTTACGAAGAATCAAGGCATAATTATGCAAATTCAAAATAGATGTTCAATATAAAAAAATACAAGCATAAAAGTGGGTTTGTTCACAGCATGAGATCCAACAGCTTTTGCTTCAAAGGATAGGAAAGACTTTTTTTTTTCTTGAAGACTGTGGCCACATCACATGCTAGAACACCTCAGCTTACCAGTGTGTTTTCATGTGAACCATAACTTGTTTCTAAAAATATTTCTTTACACCGTAAGTGCTGTAAAAGCTGCACTTTTCCAGAATTAAACCTGCTTTTGGACCTAGCACCAGTTTCTAACTATCTAAAAACTAACTGATACAGAAAATATTCCAAATGTAACTATTCTGATTCTTAAAAGTTAAAAAACTTTCTGGGTGCCTGGGTGGCTCTGTCGGTTAAGCGTCTGCCTTCAGCTTAGGTCATGATCCCAGCGTCCTGGGATCGAGTCCCACATGGGGCTCCCTGCTCAACAGTGAGTCTGTTTCTCCCTCCCCCTCTGCCCCTCCACCTGCTTGTGCTCGTGCTCTCTCTCTCTCAAATAAATAAATAATCTTAAAAAAAAAAAGATTATCCTATTTAAAAAAATAACTTTCCAAAGTAGCTTAAAAGAAATATTGCAAACTTGGTAATGCTGGTACTCTTCCAGTTACCTGATATGCCATCTCGGGGGTGATTATTATTATTTTTTTTTATTTATTTATTTGACAGAGAGAGATAGCGAGAGCAGGAACAGAAGCAGGGGGAGTGGGAGAGGGAGAAGCAGGCTTCCCGTGGAGCAGGGAGCCCGATGCGGGACTCGATCCCAGGACCCTGGGACCATGACCTGAGCCGAAGGCAGACGCTTAACGACTGAGCCACCCAGGCGCCCCTTGGGGGTGATTATTATTTGCCTCTTAATTTCAAGACTTTTAAATATACCTTCCCTGTAGATCATCTTCACATTTTCAAAATTATTTAACGCAGAAGGAAACGGATAGTCGTGACTGAGCACCAAGAGATCGTACATGTCTAACCTGTAGAATCAGGTCACTAAGTTAACCCAGTGGGTGAACCCAGTGCATCCCTCTTGCATGGAAATATCTAGGTGGGCACATGGACCTTTTTCCCTCCCTGTGTGTGAGCCAGCCCTCCAGCGAGGCATGGATTGGGGAAAATTCCCTCTCTCACGGCTCTTGCACACGTCAATGAATACCCAGCAATTTAAGTGCACACTGAATCTAAGCCTCCAGAGGAAAGAGTTCTATACCCCAGAACAGAGAGTAGTAACATTGTCAGTGACTACATATGTCCAGCACGGTGTTGGTCAATATGCAAAACTAAAGCAAAAAGATATAACCCTTGCCCTAGAAAAGCTTCTATTCTAAAAATGAGCCTGAGTCATAATTTTATGGACACTGTAGAACTCAACCCCATATAAAAATATTACCAGAAGCAGCAATGTTAGATGAACTGTGAAGTGTGGTAAAAAAGAAGGGGCATTAAGAACATGAAGCTTCCTATGACGCGTGGACTAAGTGGGGCAGCTATTAAGAAACTCATTTGTTTTAGCTCTCCAGCAAAGGTTGAACTTCATCTTCGGAAACGTTACTGTCGAGCATAGCGAACCCAATTTGGCCTAATGAATCTGCCTGCATTGCCGGTACTCCTTCACAGTGACACAAATTACATTTAAACCACATGGGGGATTTAAGGATTACTTCCTTCAGACTAGCAACTTTCATACTGGTCTTGGGTCCAATCAATTTCACGATGGCAGAGTTATGAACCCCTTCGCTCCCAGCCTCACAAAGACTCCAGCGCCCGTTCTGATCTGCAGATAGCTTCCTAGTAGAACACAAGAGAAACTGTAGACTTACCCATCCTTTACTCATTCTCACTTTCTGTCCATCAGTAAATACTTACTGAGTAGCTAACTACCATGTTCTTTGGCTTTTGCCACAGTAGTGGACATGGGGGATGGGATTGCTAACCCTGTCTCCAGGTGTAAGCACTGGAAAGAAAGCGAGTAATCGGGCTAAAAGTAGCAGGGATCATTAGACCCCCAGCCTGACACCCTGCACTATGTGACAGCTGCAGGGGCCTGCCTGAGTGGTTGGGGTATGTGACCCAAGTGATGGGAAGACACTCATTCATTTCTCCCACCAACAGTAGGTAAGCATGTCATGAATGCCAGCACTGAGCTAGGCATCGCAGGATAATGCAAAGACCCCATGTTTAGGAGCCAGATAAAACCAGGGCTCAAATCTGACTTTCAACTGCATGAGAAATGTAATCGTGAGCAAGTTACTTACCTGCACTGAGCCTGTAAAATGGGAACAGCTCTCCAGGTTGTCCTGGGAACTGAATCAGGTAATATGTGAAAACATGTAGTGCTGTGTCTGGCAGCTAACAGATTACCAGTAAATGGTAGCCCCTTCACCCTCTCAATCCTCAGTCTCCTCATCCCTACAATGGGATAAGGTTTTTGTGACGACAACCTCACCAAGTGTCTAGGAAAGACTTTGTGAACTAGAAAACAATGTAAAGATGTGAATTTTTTTTTCATATTCAGGAGGCAGAGGAGGAGAGAAAAAGGGCATGGACCTTTGTTCTTAAGAAGTTCACGTCAAGAGAGCGCCTGGGTGGCTCAGTCGGTTAAGCGTCTGCCTTCGGCTCAGGTCATGATCTCAGGGTCCTGGGATCGAGCCCCACATCGGGCTCCCTGCTCAGTAGGGAGTCTGCTTCTCCTTCTCCCTCTGCCTGCCACTCTGCCTACTTGTGCTCTCTCTATCTCTCTGTCAAATAAATAAATAAAATCTAAAAAAGAAGTTCACGTCACAGGAGCCACCACTGTGTGGTGGCCTCGGCCCTGTCCCAGAGGTGCATGCGCAGATCTATCAGTCTTGAGAGGTTACAGTAATGGGGTGAGACCGGAGAAACAGCGGGGGCAAGACTACAAAGCCTCATGAACCACACTAAAGTTTATTCTGTAGGCACCAGAAGCTATGGGAATTTTTAAGGAAAAGGAATCT